GCCGAGGTGGAGCTGGAGGTTCGGCAGCTCGAGGAATCCAGGTTAAACAAAGTAAATTGTTATTTTGGTTTTTAGTTCTGGCCACATCCGTTCCGTTCCCCATCCACAGGTAAAGAGTGCAGAAACTCGTCGCGACGCAGCCAAAGACAGGCTTCAGCTTTTGCGAGACCGCCTACGCCGCAAGCAGTCGGAGTTACCGAAGTCGTCTCACTCGCGCGCCGTGACAACCCCTAAGCCTAAGCCAGCGCCAAAACGCCGTCCGCTGGACCCGAAGCGGTGCCCTGCGTGCCAGCAAGAAGAGCGTAAGCGGCTAGGCCTTGTAAAGAGTACTTCCGCGAAGCACTGGGACAGCTGCCCAAAGGGGTGGAAGAAACCCAAGCCTGCATCGCCTTCGGATGCATCAGAGTCAGACTAAGACCAAACACGTTTGTCCTCCAAGTGTTAGTTCTTCAAAAACCCTGAAACTGTTTGGGGGTCGCTCGCTCTGAAAAGGCTTCTTTGGTTTTCCCTCACCAAGTTCTTTAAGTCCTGACACAGCGAGTACGTGTCGACCAGACCGAAGCACGCCCGCAGCGGTTGCAAAATGATCTCTTTCTAGAAACCCCCAAGAAGACCTCGAACCCTCGATGTACGTCATTCCATGGCCAAGCTTTCCAGCTTGTTTGCGGTCTGAAGTCGGGGGTTCCCTATCCTAGGCGTTTGGTGATCTGTTTGAAGAATGGTCGCAGGCGTACGGGGTGAGACTGTTGGGGTCCCAGGTCAAGGTGACGGAGAAGCCATAATTTCGACACAAACCATTCAAAATGTCAGCCACAAGGATTATAGCCTTCGTTAAACTGAGGTCGAGCCCTCAGACGCCGGAGCAGTATGGAGCAGTGGCGTCGGGCGACGGTTGCAATTGGAAGTGTTCGAATCAGTGTTTTCTTTGTACGGGGGGAGGTTTTAACATTTTAACTCGCATGGCGTTCAGAAATACACATCTTTCGGCGACCACCTTGCGGTTAAGCATTTCTGAGCCCGGCTTAGCATACGTCCAAACATCAGCCGTCATGGCCCTACCAGAACCTTGGTAGACCCTTTCAGAGGCCCCCGGCTCTTTTGGAGGCCTAAACTGCAGAGGCTCCTTGTTTTGGCAGCTAATGCCTGAGGTTTTGCCTCCAAAAAGCCGTTCCTCTTCCTAAGGGCCGCATTTTGCCCCTTGGCCCCGGGATGGGAATTCCCATCCAGACGGGCGATCAAAAGAGCCCCAGGAGTGATCCATGCACCCCTGGGCCATGAAATGCAGAGCTGAATAGGTTTTCCAGGCAAATACAGAATCGAATAGGTTTTCTACCATTTTACTGCGTCTAGATGGCGTTTGACGAGCTTGTGGTGTATGTTTGTTTGGTGATTTTGTTGTAATTGTAAGATATGATAGATGCAGCTGCAATAGTGCAACGACAGAAACCAGCGTCACCTTCGTGATTCGCTACTAAAACGCATCAATGCCGCATCAAAATGGCAACAGTCCGTGCCGAGAACACTGGTGTCCGCGAGGTTTCGTTAGGTTTCGTTTAAGTTGGCAACGACCAACGCAATCCAGCGTCACCTTCGGGATTAAGGTTGGTGTTATGTGTAATTCCAGCACTGATGTGTAATTCCCTGAAATCAGCGTCTACATGGGGTGATGCGTATTTGTGCCTTCTGATGTGTGTTAAACCCCCCTATGGATGTAGTATGGGTTAGATGTTGAATATGCTTTTTTGTTGAGTATATGTGAACCAAATCGCAACGCTATAGAACACACACGTTGTCTATCCTGCAGTCTTGAGCATTTGGCAGTTTCGATCTTCTGTATAGACTAGTGCTTCTTGGGCATCCAAGAGGAGGCGTTGATGATCGAGGTTCACTTTGAAGCTTTAGATTATACTTGGAGAGACTGTGTGTTTTTTGCTCGCGGTGTGCCATATGTGGTAGCGGAACCTATGGCAGTGGGGTGCTTTCAGCTGTCGGCTTCATTTTCGTGACATGCTAGTGGAGTAGCACCCGCAGGGTGTGCTTTGTGGTAGCGGAACCTTTTTAGGGTTTCGGTTTGCCACACATTGAACCTCGAGCCCTGCAGTTTGTGACGGCTCGCTTGATTCAAAAGCTTTCAAGCTTCGCATTTGTTACACCATGCTACACCCTTCCATGATCTCGCTTGAGGCCCATTCGAGTTCCAGAGCATGCATCGAGGGACAGAGAGCGTTAGTTAGAATTCTTGCGCAAGCTCTATGGCTGATTTCTGAAAGCTGGCGGTCGTATTCAACATTGTGTGTTCTGCCTTCAGCTGTCTGGTTTGCAGCTCATTGCAACGTGGTGTATGACGTTGTTTCCGGAGTAGCTGGATCCAAGAACATCATGTCCGGTGGTATGCTGTCATGCTTGAACCGAAGACTCGATTTAAGCTGCGATAAACTGCATCCTGTGCTCCGTGCCATATGGTTCACACGTCCGCTCCATCATCTTGCACTCACGTGTTCCCGAGCTCCTCGGGTCAACAAACCACGCCCTATCGTCGCAGTACACGAGCGCCAGGCATGACCTGCAACTGGATTCTTCTATATGTTGGGGCCGTGGGATCACTTTGAGTATATCGGTGGTCAGCAAGGCCCCCACAGATATCTCGATGCAGTTGCCAGCATGTTTGAGCGCCTAATTACCACCGTCACGTATAAAGCCGGGCCTGGCGCACCAGAACGATGTGCTCTCCTTCATGAAAATACTCATGGATGCTAATGGTGGCATCATACCATTTCTGATATTGAAGAGATCAGCAGTCGGTTCTCTTACGTCTGTGAGTGTTTGGCAAACGAATTATGATGCTACTTCCATGTGGCCCCGCTTCTTGTTTCCAATCTCAGGTCATGGGTTATAATCCCGTGCATCCTGGTTGGTCCACGTGTTCAACATCGTGCAGGCCTCTGCGTTCAGGATCCAAATCAGAATGGTTGGACAGGACCAGAACCAAGTCGTTGTGATGTAAACGTCCTTGCATTAAATGTGTGCTCTGCTGTCCGACGGCTCAAGTCTTGCGGTACGACAGCCTCAAACTGATTGAACGAGACTCGACTGCATGATCGAACTCAAGACCGTGAAAGGCAAGAGGATGATATAACATCATCTGTTGCCTCGCAGGTTGCACCAGCTTTCCGGTCTTTGGTCGCGCGCGGAGCTCGATCATCGAAAGGCAAACTTCACAAAACGAACATTCCTGTCGTTCCCTGAGGCCCATGGCCCGATTCTCAACCATCGCCTGGTTTGCGGACGAGGACACAACGCCCCAAGCCCAAATCTTTAATTGTGTTGCCTGTGCGCACAGCCACTCTGAACGCAAGGTCCGCCGACGCCCCTCGCGAGACGGGGCAGTCACGGCGCCACTCGGCCAGTCTTGTGGGTGCACACATTTGTGAGTTCTCGAAAGCATGCTAGGAGTCTTTGTGGCCTATCAAAACCGATGGGTAAGGCCGGGCAAGCATACAATAATGCAAAGCCATTCAGTCTTTCACACGGGGCTTTGTCGAGGGTCCAGATGCATTCGAGCAAGATATCGCCCCGGCCTTATACTGCTCTGAGATGTGCCATTGTCCACTACATCCGCGCAGTCAGTCACCAGGACCCATGTAAATCCTATCGACGCGGCGGCCACCGGAGCGTGAAAGCCTCGGTGAACAGCCAGCTGTTTGATTGCGATCCATGGGTCGTGCTGTACAGGTCGCACTCTGACATGGACGATAGCGGCCGCTGGCAGCAGGAGGAGTGTGTGCCTAAGACATATGAGAACCTGTACCACGGGCAGAGGGCAGAATCGTTACGGTGTGCCCAAGGCCTGCAGCCGCGGCCGCTGTCGACCCGCTTTTTGATGAGCTTGAATCTTAGGAAAGCGAGAATTTGTTCTGTCAGTAGTACTACGCATTACCATTACTTATACACAGCACACCATTAAGGTCCGGCTCCAAGGAGGACACGGTGACACCAAGCCCCAGGCCGTACAAGACCATGATCATTCCTATCTTCCATGTGGCTGAAACATGTAAAGGATCTCTGCAGAGATAGAAGTGCCCGCCGTGGACAAGCTCCTTACAATCGAGCAGCTTCCTTAGAACAACATGCGAGAGTGCGCAGCAACCGTTCGTGTGCGAGGTCGGATGCCTATCCTTCGTGGCGTCGGGTGTGTGCATTCACCATGCGGTGCCCCCTCGACACAGTCCTGAAGCTGGAGCACAGACCTTACCTTCTTCTGAGCCATACATTGAAAGCTCATTGGCAGTATCGCCCAGGTCAGCTGCCACTGAGTCCTGGGCCGAGCTTAGGTGAGCAGCTCAGTCCGTCGTCGTTAGCTGTGGTCATCGAATCAGCCAACCAACAGCGCAGTGTAGAACAATACCGAGGCGACTTCCACCTATGCCAGTGCGGCAGTGCATCCTTGCTGCACTTCACTCAGTCATTGATTGTCATGGCTTTTTCTCACAGACAACAGGGCTTTATATCGGCTATAGCCACAAGCTCAGCGGAAGCGACCGCACCTGCAGCTCGGCAGCAATGTAAGTAGCCTGTCGATTACGAGCTAAGAGCTGCAAGCTGCCTGGTCCAGGCGACAGCTTGGTGTGGGCCGTGGCTAGTCGCCTACGCATCAAGAAGACCGCTCACTTGACACCGGCAGCCGCAACCTGCTTACAATGTAACCCTTGCATTAAGGAAGTCCTTCTGTGCGTTCAACCAGCTCGACTCAGGATGGCCCAAATTGGACGAGGATATCGAGGAGAGCTTGGTACAGCGGATTCAACGTCTACCTTGGAGGCGCATTATCTTCCCAAGAAGCTGTTGGAGTGAACTCATTCGAGAGTCCTCGCAGGGCAACCCCGGCGCAAGCCAAGGAGGTCTTGCAAGAAGACTGACCGAGGCCAGCTCTCGGGTAGAGCTGCTGCGTCGAAAGTATCCACACGTATATGTCGAATGTAAGCTTCGAACTTAAAGGGCGCATGCTGTCTCGCATCGGAGGCGATGGTCGCTACGAGGATACCTGCCTTCCTGACTCCTTCAGGGCCATGGGGTTAAAGGTCGCTTTCTCAGGGCACGGTCCATTCTTTGCGCTGCGTGATGGCAATCGGATGCTGGCCCCCCTGCAGTGCCTAGTCTGGATGGGAGTCTAGCCGGGAGACAGCTGAAGGCTTGTAATGGTTGCCGTTGCATGATGTGGTCTCAGCAGTCCGAGGCACACCATCCGTCGCATCCCTGAACTTGACAACGAGCTGAACCCAGGAAGATATGTTCTGTATGCGCAGAATCACTTCTGCGGGTTAAGAGTCTTCGATGACGGGTCTTGTCATATGACTACAAGCCATCGCACCCAAGACAACCTATGCATTGACGTCGCGGACGTGAATCTTGAACTTTGGGAGGCTGTTTTCGTCGTAGAGCCTTTGGCACATGGCACAGGACACAGAACAGATGATGACACCGATGAAGACAAGGCAGGTGGTTCCCACAGGATGCAAGCATCTGACTGCGAAGAGCCGTACAAAAAGCTGGTGCACTATATTGACCAATACGTTATCTTCCACAGAATCCTGCATATCCGCAGCATGGCCCTCACTTACATTCAGGAGCTGGTGACCTGTCCTGGATTATGGCTTCATTTCCCGAACCCACTCCACACTCAGATCGATAAACGCACTTGGCGACATTTCATGGACTGCTTCGAAGACAGGGCCAGGAAGGTGACGGAGTGGGTGGATCCACAGATTCTAGTTTCTGGTCTACGTCCGTCTGCTCACGGGCCCCGACATGTGCACTCCATATCAGATGTTGACCGCGCCGTCAAGAGAGTTGGCGCCTGGGCCCGGATAATGATCAAGCTGCTGGATTATGATGGCACGGTCAGCCTGCTATCACCTGTTGATCCTGCCATTTCCAAAAGGATTTGGGAGAAGCATCTGTTCGACATCCGCCAAAGCTTGACGGTGTTGACTCAGACTGTTCCGTCTTGCGTGGACACGTCAGTAGACACCTCTTCAAAGGCCCACGAGCAAGACTACCTGGGCGGCGTGACCGAGAAGATTGCCGCCTGCGGCTCGAGCAAGAGCTCTCTCGGTGCAATTAGCAAATAGCTCAATGTCTATCTGCCGTTATGCTTCAGGTTCTGTTCTAGTTGCAGGCAAATGTACCCCTAGATTCAGAAAACTACAACATGTTGCTGTCTGGGCGCCGTCATGCCCATCAGTCAGGCTCTGCGGAGACATTGCCGGTTGAAGTGATTATCCTCATCATGCGGTATCGCAACGCTTTCCAGCAAGGTCCTGCTGCACCTACGGATCTAACCAGAAGGTGCTTGCAATACTCTGGCCTGCAAGCGCGCCTTATCAGTTTCTGTGTTGATACTACCGCCGCTGATGAAGATGGGTTCTGGATTGTTCCCGCTCCGCATGCCTTGGCTTGCTGTGCCAGATTCACGTGCGCTGAGAGATTGCGGTGCCCAAGACCCGTGCGGGTGCACAGAGTGCTGTGTGCATCGCCGAGTCTATCGATTGATGGGTTCACTGACTATCTAGGCGGTGCAAGCAACAGGCCTCCAGCTACGTTTTGTTTGCCTTCTCATACGGCTGCAGCTCCGTTAGCTACATCGCTTCCCGTCGAGGTATTAGGACGCATGCCCGGATACTTCTTCGACTACCGCTACCTGCATGCTTGGGCGATGGCATCCCGGGCGATGCTTCTGGCAGCTCGTAACAAGGCGCATTGGAATGGTCTGCAGGTGAATGCTGACCAGCCGAATCTGGAGGTAGCGCGAAGGTTGAGGTCCGTCGTCGACCTTTTGACGAAGGCCAGAACTATATGTGTCAACTTGCGACAGCTCTCCATGCTCCTGTCGCCAATACCAGGCACTGTCAGGCTGCACTGGGACACTGTTCCATTGCAGCCGCACCCTCCTCTCCGCAATCTTCTTTTTGGCTGTCGCTCGAGACGGCCTTTAATGGGCTGCGCCGACTTTGATGTATTCTTGCCAGCCACTGTGCGAGGCATGTACATTGGTGTCAGGGAGTGGAACGGACAGAGGCGATCGTACTGTCGAGTCGACAATGTGTTCCAAGAAGGCATTGCCTGGTCAATTGGAATCAATGACTTTCCAGCCAGACCGCATATGTCTGCCAGCATTCGTTCACCAGTTCCCAATGCCACGAACAGGTTACACTTGAAGTGGGACCAGAGAGTTTTTTCAATTGCGCTCAATGGAGTGGGTGTCGCTCGTGCTCGACTCCAAGAAGGAGAGCACGGTGATGCTGCGCCACCTCTCTCGAGCTTGTTCTTCATGATCTTCGGACAAGCAAGACATCGGCAGCCGCTTCTGCAGTTCAGCGCAGTGCCTTCAGCAGTTCAACTCAATGCCCGAATAAGATGTGGTGTGTGTCGTCAGTTGCACACGCTATTGCCGTCGCACTGGAGCGTGTGCCCCGTTTGCAGCACATGGGTCTGCTCGCAGCATATCGGACAGACGCCGGCGGCAAACTGTCCCAACTGTGTGATGCGATTGCAGGACTACTTGGGAGGATCATCTGCTTATGCAGGCCGCGGGCACCACTTCTAAAGAACTTATGAGGTCGTGTGTCATGATCTTCGCAGCACTTCGCAGTTGTGCTCGTCTTCTAGGTGCATTCGGTGTGCATGAGGTGTTTCTGTGAGTGAAGGGACTAGCTACAGACAGGGTTCGCTGCTGATCTTCTTCCAACATACAATCGGGGTTTCAAAGATTCACTGCACGCTGCACGCTACCCAGCTTTCCACGCGCGAGGTCCGTGCTCGCCCGGTTCATACAACTGGGATGATTGGTCGACTGGCCGCTACGTCCATCCGCGCAGGGAAGTTCGGGATTGTTCGGGAGGAGCTTCAGCTTTTGCAGGTGCTTTGGAGGATAGTTGCCCGTTTTTTTGTGCCAGACTATGTCATATTTAAGTCCTGCACCTCCCCGCCCGCAAGACGCGGGCATTGTGCTAAGGAGTGTGGCCCAAGCCCTTGCCAGATATGGTTGGCAGTGTCATCGGGAGCGATTCGCCGGGTGAACCGTTCTTTCGGATGACAGCGAACCCAGAAGCAGACAGCACGGATGTGCTGGAGTCATGTTCCACACTGGCCAACCTCAATCCACACGAGACAGATGCAAGACTGCGCTTCCAGACCGAAGGACATGCTTATTACATCGATGGCGAGAAGATCGACACAAGTGCCAGATCCTCATTTGATTTGCGTTATGCGCTATCTGTTTTTGAAGCTTGCAAGCTGTTCTGTCTAGGTTACTTCATTGATCCACGAGTATGCCGCAGAGTTCGATGCATGGCAGGCTGTGCAAAACATGAAGGCAGGCAAAAACTGGCCCCGGCGGGAATATGCTGTTTCAGATATTCAAGTAGATGTCATTCTGCTGAAACTGGTCGATGCACCTGGCAGTGCCCGCGAAAGACTAACCGAAGTTCTCCAGCACCAGCCCATGGATATTGAAAGTCTTTGTGCTGAGCTTGCCCGATTTCGTGAAGAGCTTTCAAACTGGGATGACATCGTGCAGGAAATCATGCTTCAGGATAATGAGATCGTGGACTTCTGGAAGAAGAAATCTTTTCACGCATGTAATGCCGGGACATGGATGCATTCTATGCTTGAGCACATGATGAACGGCTCCGACATACTCCCTGGAACTATGACCAAAGAGCTGAGCATGGCGGTAGACTTTCTCCGTGAACTGCACGACGAGATGCCGGGACTGGTCGCCTACAGATCAGAGTGGACCATCTACGCAGGCAGAGAGAATCTGGCAGGATCGATAGATTTGGTTCTGTTTGACACAAGCGACGAGAAATTTGTGCTGATAGATTGGAAGCGCAGCGAGAAGTTACAACAAAAATACAACAGCTATGGCAAGTTCATGATGGAACCACTGCAAGACATTCCGGACTGTCAGGGCGAGCATTACCGGTTACAGCTCAACATCTACAAGTGGATTCTGGAAAGTTACTACTCCAAGAAAGTGAAGAGTATGAAAGTTGTATGTGCATATCCAAATTCATGCAATGAGGCTTTCGTGGATGATGTGCCTGACTTAACAAGTGCCGTCGACCGGTTAATGAAACACCGCCGCGCTCACGTACAAGCCAAGAGGACAGCATGCGACTTTTCACAAATGCCTGAGACGGCTGATCTGGCTGGAGAAGAAGATATCGATGCTGCCATGGAGCCGGCAGGTGAACTGCCTGGTCCGTCAAGCCTGCAAGCTTTGCCTGAGACAGCGACAGTTGTTGTGCAGGACACTCTGTTGGCACTGGAAGAAGAACCTCAAGCAGCCGACCAAGGCTTTCCAATGTTCATGCAGAAGAGACGTGACATGAAGGGCGCCAACGACAGTGCACAGTTGTTTCAGGACATGTTCTCAACCAACGACAGTCTTCTGCAAAGAACCCTCGACCAAGAGCCAGCCGATGCCTTACAAGCGCCTGAAAGTATTCTACAAAACACGAGACGTGGTGTAGAACAACTCACTGAGCTACATCCCACCTGGTCGTCAGAGTTGCTGCGCCTGTCACTTGTTGGCGGCTACCTTTGCCAAGCCCGCATAGGTGACAGACCGATGTTGGCAGACTGCGCAGGACTTCTGTGGATGATGGAGGGCGAGAGACATATTCGCGTCCACAACGGTTTCTGCTACGTCTACGACGAGGAAGGTACCTTTCTTCCATTCGGCGGGGTTCCGCCTGAGACCGTTCTGAGAAGGGTGCATGCATTTTGCACTCGTCTTGAAGGCCTTCTCCTCCTCATACCGTCGCGCACAAAGAGGCATCCTGCGAATTTGCTTAATGCAATTGCGGCCAAAAGACAAGAGTTTCCATCTGATGAAGCTTTTATCGAGCAATGCGCCGCCAATGTTCTGAAGGGCAGATCCAATGTCGATCAGTATCAGCGACTAGATTCAGCTGCTCCTGAAGATGCCGCAGAGGAAGAGCAGTCGCTGCAAGTGGCACAGGATTTTGGTGAGGATGGACCAGAGTCTTGGACTGTATCTGTTGCTGATAGAGTTTGGAAAATCTCGTGCGCTCTACGATCCGAACTGATGCATACCAAGCTGATATCCCTCCTGGTGGAATGGTGCGAGACGCCTGACCAGAGACAGAGCTGCTTGTGCTATCAAGACCTGTGTGTCAGATACGACGCCGACCCTGACACGGCAGTGAAGATCGTTCCAAAAGCGTCCTCCAACGACTGCTACATCAAGATCCCACATGCATTGAAAGATCCAGTGCTGGAGGACAACGTCCAGCGTGTACGCAAATTCTACTCGCAGACATTCTGGTGCAACTTCGACGTTTTCAGATGCTGCATGGCTGCAGCCGCCTTGGCGAAGAGGGGGCTCAACATCGACAGATGTTTCATCGGCATATCCCCCGGCGGGGTTGGCCAGAGCCTCTATTCCTTGCATTTGGCTGCAATGTTTGGAAGCAATCATGCTTTCTTCGATCCGAATGTCTGGCATAACGACGAGGAACTTCGCAAGCAAGTGGAGGGATTTGCACGCTGTTGTGTAATTACGGGACAAGAGGCCCCGGAGTCCTCTCGCAAACTGCACTTGGATCTGTACAAAAAAACTATGAGCGCTGACGGCATCATGGGAAGGAAGCCTTATGGATACACCACGCGAATGTTTTCGATCTGCGGATGGCCACTCGGCTAGGAGTATGGTCTGTAGCTCATTTATAGTCTTACACATCAAGCGTATCTAGTGCCTTATGACGTGTGCCCAGGAAGAGATTGGAACTGAACCGAATGATGATGTTCGCCGGTGTCAACATCGGAAACTTTAACTCCATTCTGCGTCGTGCGCTGGTGTGGAAAGCAAAAGCCAGATTTCTCCCCGCGCAATATCTACGTAATCACCCGGATCATGAGAAAGCCGGCATCTTTGTGGCCGATCCGTCCCTCAGCAAGTTCCTGTCGTCGCCGCAGGCATCGATTGCAGGGCTTCGTCTCCAACACGCATTCGAGCTGCAGTTCAATAAAGAGCAATGTTACCAGCTCATTGAAGATTACGTGAGCAGTGGGGATGAATACCTCACAGAGGATACTATGCGAACGGCTTGTTCATTGCCAATTCGTCAGAAGGCAGATGACATTGATGCAGGCGTAGGCAACCTCCTTGCAGGCTCTAACTCACAGGAAGAACGCGACCAAGGAAAAGCTGAGTGGGATAATTTGACGAATGCCATTACGCAGAAAATGTTGGAGACCCAGGTGGACACTCTATCCTTCTATGAGTTCAAGACAATGGTTTTTTCCTGTTCAATCCCTAACCTCCCGAAGACATCTCTCTGGGACGAACTGCAAAACAAAAACTTCATGATGAAGGGCATGCTCAAGACGACCAAGACCAATAAGGAAAGGCCTGGAGGCTTGTTGCCTCTGATCAGATTCAAGAAACCATTGGACACCATCGTCGACGTCTGTCGATCCAACAGGTTGGTTTTCCAGGAGCTACATAATGTCGCATCCCTGGCTGAGTACATGAACAAGTTCCCCGCGAGAGCATCCAACGTCAGTGTAATCATAAACTACCTGAAGCAAGCCTTGGGCCAAAAGAAAGCCAAAGGCCGGCCCGGTGTGTCTGCCAAGACTGAGAAGAGCGGTTTGGAGAAGAAACTTCAGAAGATGAAAGAGTACGAAGCCGCTCTGGAGTATTACATGAATTTGCCTCAAGCGGCAAAGAGAAGACGTGTGACAGGCAAAACCGAGTCGGTACCTGAATCAGTTCCAGAAGGCCCCGGTTTCCACTCCCTGGATGTAACGTACCACTACGTCGACAAGAGCACAGTTCGAGGTCGCAGGTATACGAAAAGAGCAGGTGCTCAGTGTACGCCGAGAAGAGTCCAACACAGAACCTTGTCGGAGCACACATGCGACCTGGACATCGCGAACTGCTGCCTGACTATTCTTCGCCAGCTCATCGACAAGATGGAGCCGACGCCAGGCCTACCGACACATCTGCGATCTGTGTTGGACAGATGTGTCGAAGATCGGGAAGCTTTCGCACGCGACTGCTTGGACATGTCCACGACAGAGGCAAAGGCTCTCATCAACGTTATTTTCAACGGAGGTGCCCCGTCTGCTGGCGTGCAGAACGATTCCGTCCAGAAACTTCAGTCATTGGGAATCTACTGTCGTTGGCTTGCGTGCAATGCTTTGCCGGAGGAATATGACAGGCTAGCAAACGATGCCAAAAAGGAACGACCGATGGCGTCCACGCTACATCTGTTCTGGACCTCGGTGGAAGACGCCATTGTGGATGCCTGGCTAGAAGCCTTGTGCCCGTTATTGCCCAAGCACCTATCCTTACACTTCGATGGTGTCAGGATCGACAGGGCTGCCGTTGAACAGAATGCGGATCTCATTCAAAGATGCCAAAAGGCCATCGTCGACAAGACCGGGTTCAATGTTCGTATTGTGCAGAAGACCACAAGTACGATCAAAGATTTGATCGCTGCCAAGACCGAGACTATGGTTTCTTTGAGATCGATGCCAGCGGCATTGTTACAGGACGGCAATTGCATACCGTGCGCCATTTGGCATCTATCCCCAAAGAGTAGAATGGAAATCAATGCAGCCTTCAGCAAGGCGGACAGAAAGGAAAACGCTGACGCTGTTGAGCAGGGGTTTCGCTCCTACAGGGCATGTGCCACGATGGTAAAGAAAGACCTCCACGCTTGTCTCGGGCTTCCAGCTTCGGATGTCGACAACTTCATTTTACATTTCGAGAACGACGGCAAACCTCACTGCTTGGCCGTACAGTACAATGCCACCAGAGATCATGTGTCAGTGCTTGATGGTGCGACGCACTATCGTCTCACGTTGAAGAACTTCACCTCGTGTGTTCTCGATGGGATAGATGCATCAACAGCGGTGAGCTTCTGGGAACAATCCTTGGGGAGAGACGGCAGCCCTGGTATGTTGCTGGATCTTCAAGCTGGAGCGAAACGCGCAGCCCCCGACAAGGGCAAGGCAAGCCATGCCTCAGCAGCTTCTTCGGAGAGGTCCGGGCCCAGGCTGCAGCAAGCTTTGGTTCATTCAGACGCCAGCGACAGCACGGGGTCAGATGCAGAAGATGCCGCCGCCATGCTGCCTTCTCAATGTAGCATGGTCGACGATGAAGATAAGGCTCTGATGTTTTCCGAGAGTATACTGGCGAAGATGGCCGAGGAAGTCCGTGTCTACACGGAGAAGCTGAAGTCAGGCGACAGGAACATGAAAGTCGGCGGCAAGCATGCATGCAGGTTGTGCCCTTTTCGAATCTTCAACAAGAAGACGGGACTGTTGACCCATGTCCGCAAGTACCACACCGACATCAACCAATATGTTTGCTCTGGCACAAAGCAGATCAAGGTGATCCTCGCTTTGCACGATCATGCCGCAGGACTCCAACTGTCAGTCTGTCATTACCTTCAAGAGAGTGCACGGCTCATGGCAGCCACTGTGGTCCCGCCTCCTTGTACGTCTCGCAACTATGTGGACAAGACGATCAGGTTACTTTTCAAGTCCAGTGGTCCAGAGTATATCAACGTCTCCGAGCTCGGCAAAACAGTTGTGGCTCGCCGAGTTCGGAACATCTACTATGACAAGTCTTTTGCAGAGATGCTCTTCCAGGAGGTACTGATGCATCATGTTCAGGCGGGGTGTCTTGCTGACTCCTAATGCTGCTTCTAGACCTGAGCAGAAACAACAGAAACGTGCTTAGTCACCCCGACATTCCGCGCAGGTTCGAGCTACCTGGCCCAGATTGCATCTTCGAGCCCACGAAGCTGGAAATCAGCTCTCCTCGCTGTATCCCACTCACACTCGGCATTGGTGGCCACTTCTTGAGGATGTCGCATACTCAGCTGCAGTTCAAACGAAGATGAACGAAATGCTTGATGTTCTTCTCGAAAACAAGGAGTGGCTGTACGTGAGCGTGGATGCAACGCTTAAGACATGCCTCAAGCTCAAGGGTCAGGAGTCATATAGGGCACCAAAGGCGGCTCGAAATGCTGCCCCATTTCCTGATGCCACAGCGTGGAGGCGGCTCTTGACGGCCCGGGGTCGCACAGGGGCCGTTCTGCTGATGGTGCCCCTTGCAACTGAGAAGGCAGAGCACGTCGTGGAGCAATTCCAACTCAGCTTCTCAGCAGCTGCTTTGGCCCAAGTCGAGTACCTGGCTACAGATCAGCCGTCTCCGAAGCTGTTTTCGATGTTACAGAGTATCTGCACGAGCCTCAAGTGCGTGGCCCTTGATCCGATCCATCTTGCAATCGTGTATGAGTACGCACATTGGAACAAGCGAACGGCCGGTTCGAGAATGCTGCGATCATTGGTGCGCAAGGTGCTGGCCATTGATACAAGCAAGGCCGCCGAGGATTGGGGTGTGATCTTTACTGGCAGCAACCCCACGCCGTTGAGCCAAGAGGAGCAATGTGCGCGAGATCACATATGGCATCAGTCTATGCCCAAGGCCGAGGCTGAGGCGTACATGTTGAGTCTGTGCACCGATGTGCCCTTTTACAACCGCTGTGAATTCATAAGGGGCCTCGCGGCTTTGTGTAGCTTGAAACCGGAGGAAGTTGGCAGAAAGGTAACCGGTGCCAACAAGGAAGTGTTTAAGATCCTCTGGTCAGCTGCTGCGCCGGACCGCCTCGAATGGTTGTGGAACAACCTGCGGCTCCGACACGGCATGACTGTACTGGAAAGGGCATTCCTTCCCAGTGGGACCTCCTCGAACGAGGCCCTTCACGCTGAGATTAATGCATGGTTGCGCACAGCCAACTCCCTGCACAGATCCACGCTTCTTTTGAAGCTGCGTCTGATGCGTTACCGCAAGTTGGTAGCACATCACGTTGCAATGTGCTTTCCGTTCGTTAGAGTCACTGCCGAAGGTGTCATTTTGTCGCGTGCACTAGCCAAGCCCTTATGGTCAGAGGCCAGCTGGCTGGGCTGGTGTGACGAGCAGAAGGACGACGGAAAAGGCCCGCAGAACAAGGCCAAACTTCCGCTTGTTCGTGCTCGTGAAGATGAGGCATCTGCGGTGCAGGCTTGGGTTCGAAAGAAGCCAGCCTCTAAACGAAGGTGCATCAAGCGCACGCCCTTCAACGCCAGACGGCAGCACCAAATTCGGGTCGGGGGCATCAAAAAAAAGTGCCGCCGGCGGGCAAGTGCCTGATGTGACGGATCCCGCGACTGGTCCACTTGCGGAAAATCAGGTCGCCTTGCTGACAGTTGATGCTGCCATTGCGTCTGTGTCCAGAGATGTCCTATAGACAACCAGTCCTTTCGTGCGCAGGGTCTCAGCATGGTTGTGTTCAGACCTAGCATCGATCAATCAGGCTGAGCTCTGCGGTATAGCTGGTCTTTGCACAATTCGGATTGCTGAGCAAACCAAACACAGCGACCATCGATTGTTCGTATCCCATGACATTGGGCGGGTTACGACTATGTGTGCTAGTCCGTCTACCTTCCCACTGAAACCATCGTAGGTGTTGCGGCCATAGACGACGTGTTTTGCTATCGCTATCGTTCGCTCGCTTGAGCTGACATGTGCAGTCATGGCCGTGTGGGAGTGTGATAGCATGACTTGGAGTGGCGAGGAATGTTGTGCATCCGTGACCATTTTGGATAAAGTCCTTCAATTCTCAGTGGGTACGAAAAATTGAAGTACCTACCCTGCCCACCTTGCGGAGGGCTAGCCAAAAACTAGCTACAATCTACTGAGATTTGTGCCACATCCATGTGAAAGGAGAGTTGTCCGTGCTAGCTGCGTTTCGAGCTCGTGGTTGTCGCTCGGCTATTACGACTACTCTAGTGCTCTTCCCTTCCGGTGGAATGCTGGGGATGTTGGTCGGCGATAGAAGTTAGTGCCCTGAACGCTATTAGCTGACTTCTTTACGGTTCAGCACTTGACACTGATTGCAGCGCATGACTTCAAAGCATTTAGTGAGTTTGAGCCTCAAGCTTTTGCGCAAATGAAAGATGTTAGCTTCGGACGGCTGTGCCTTTTATCGCGGCACCTGCATTGAGATTCGAGTGCCCTGTTGTTGGGATTGCATCGTCCACGACGTCTACAAGGCAGTGATGGCTTGTGTACTTATATAAGTAGACAGGAAATGGCCAAATAGACCCTAAAGGTCTCGGCCACATATATATATATATGTGTGTGTGTATATATATATATATATATATATATATGTATGTATATGTATACGTGTATATATATATATATATATATATATATATATATATATATATACATATATATATATGCGTGCATACATGTGCATGTATGTATTTACAGATAGGATACGGCATGCTATTTATCATGATCATATCGTTCTATAGGGTATGCTATATGCTATATCACATGAAGATCTGAGCAGTGCTTACGCGGCTTTCGGGTGTACGGCCCGAGCTTCAAACCCAAGCTGTCCCGAAATATGACAATGTGACACCAAAGGCGTCCAGGGAAGAAAGGCCCAAACACCGGAAGCCCAAAGCCCAAAACTCCTATCCGCCTACGACCCCTGAGCCCATCAGTGGAGGCCATGATAGCAACATAACAGTTTCAGATCAGACTAACACTGCGTGGCGTGTAGGGTCTAAGGTTAGGAGAGTTCGGGATTGAGGGTTTAGGGGAGACACATGCGAGACTAACAACCTGACGGGACTAGTTAACCGGAAAGACAATCACAACAATACTAGTGGTATTCATGGCCCCAACAACGGAACAAACAAAAGCCCATTCCTCCGGAGATGCATGACAACAAAACACACGGCAGTTGCAAGACAAATAAGAAGCACAGCTACGGCACGACAAGAATTTGAATACGATTCAAGAGATAGAAACAGCATACCTGTGCATATAAGCATAACAAGTAAAGGCCACCAGCAACAGCACGAAGACTCGAACAATCACCGAAGTCAGCCCACCTTGTCCTCTGCACGGGCTTCCATGTGATCCAGCCTCGGCCCGCTGTTGGGTTTTGACGGGGTTTTGGGCGTTTACGGTTTAGGGGTTTCTTATTGGAGTTCTTTTGGCACCGTAGACGGCCCTGAACCCAAAACCCCAAACCCTAAAGCCCTAAACCCTAAAGCCTTACAGTAAACCCCATAAAACGCGAAATGCTGAACCCTTCATGCAGACACACGGGCCGAATAGGCTCCCCCTGAAGCTCCAATTGAATGCCGTGTCAAAAGAATAATTAGACGAGCCCTCCTTTAAAGGGCTGCTTTAACGGGATATGTAAGGGATCGATAATAGAGTTCTGTAACGTAGGGGCCTTCCTATTTAGACTAGGGTTCCCTTGGAGGGCTCCTTTGAAGGGATCTTTAATTATAAGGGTTCTATCAGGGACTTAAGGTATAGGGAACTTCATAAGTAGAATAGGATTTCCGGGTAACTTGTACTATGATAGTAGTGGGATTATAAGAAGGGTAACTATACTTATAACCCATGTTAAGGGACTTATAACTTATAACCCCACTTATAACTACCCCTGAACCTTCAAGTCTATCATGCCCAAAACCTGCATGGTCGCAGCGTCCTCATCGATAGGTTTGCGGCCTAAAGGTCGGGCTCCTCCGCACTCCAAACACGGTTTAGCGGTTTCTCCTTTTTACAGATAGCACTATAAATACATGAATACTAACAATAACAATCATAATTCTTACTAGTGATACCAATATTAACCCTACTAACAGAAATAAAGTATAGTAATCTCCGTTCCTGGTGCCTCCATTCTCGAGTTATCTCACCGCTCGGCTTCAGCGACCTGCAGTGATTAAGAACAGTTACAGGTACAATGGATGCAGGCGCAGACCCTGGGCCACCAGGAACCGCGTACTATAGGGGCCAAAATAACTAAAATAGGGCTTGGGGGCACAGTTTGCTAAAATTATATTGAGGAATCCCCAAAATAGTATAAGCCGGTATTAAGGCCCATGGTAAACAAACAACGCCTCCAAAAAAGCTGAGTTCGGTTGGGCATTCGGGTGCCTGACTTCGGGCTAAAACAGCTCTTTTGATCTCATCTCGGTGCCTCGCGTCACCTGATATGGGGGCCTGAAAATTTGGGAGTTTCCGAAAATTAGCGGTACCTTAGTTGGGGGTCCTTATAATGAGGATCCTACTATTTAGGGTACTATATTAGGGTCCCCTATTTTCGGAAACTCCCATTTGGAACAGGGTTTGGGGGAATATTGTACTGTGAGCTCAATAAGGCACTCCCAAAATAGAGTGTTGGTAATTCACTATCTTTAATGGTATGTGTCTTAGGGGCCTCAATACACAGAACGGTTAGAAGTATAATACTGTTTTGGGGGCGTAGATTGTGGTACAATTATATATTGGGACACTGAGGGGACTTAGTAGATTAAATCGCCAAATCAAAACGCAGCGATTTGAAATCGCAAGTCCAAATCGCTTCTTATTCGCTCTTTATCAATGGTTGGAAACGCCAAACGCGCGATTTGGGTTTTCAGTGCCAAATCGCTGCTTATGCTGCTTTGGACGAGACATCGGTTCGATGATTTTTGCATCAATGGGTTCGATGATTTTTGCAAGCTTTGGAAAACTCATTCAGCCTGGCTGCGCCCTACGAAGTTGCCACTGTTTGAGAAGTTCAAGTTCAGGGCGGTTTTGGAAAGACTTTAAACAGCTGGCGGGTTTGCTCTACTCAACGAGACTTTTAGGGTTGACATGCTACAGCACTCGGCACGAGAGCATGTGGTCTCGTCGTCAAATCGTCGTCGGGGGTTTGGGTCCTGCCCCCTTTTAACAAGTCGTCGTCCGGGGTTTGGGTCCTGCCCCTTGGAAGGATTTGGGTCCTGTCCTTCCCAACTGAGGTCTCTTCGTCGCCATTGGGGTCGGGTCCTGCCCCGCAGAGGATGAGGGTCCTGTCCTCTTTTGGCGTCGTCGTCAAGGGGTTTGGGTCCTGCCCCTTTTGGAGGATTTGGGTCCTGTCCTCCTGCACAGAACCCTAAGACATCGAAGACATAGAAGTCGTCGTAGACCTGCCCGGTTGGGCGTATTGCCCCAAAGCCCTTCCTTTGAAACAAGACCAAATGATTTTTGCAAGCCTTCCAAAAATCATTACAATTATTGCGGGGTTGGCCAAACGCATTCAGACTCCAGCTCTGTGAAACCCGAACCCCCAACCCTAAACCGCCAAACCCTAAACCCCTAAACCCCAAACCCTGAACCCCTAAACCCCTAAGACCCTAAACCCCTGAACCCTAAACCCTAAACCGCCGAATGTAGGGGCCTTAATATTTCGAACAGGGTTTTGGGGTTCCTTATTATGGTTACAGTTATAATATAATGTACCCCAAACCCTATTCTAAATATTAAGGCCCCTATACCGGTATCTTCGCCTGAAGCTCTCGCACGGAGGGGCCCAGCTCGTGCGTAAAGCGCCTTACGTCTCCGAGCTGGTCCAGCAACATCCGAACCTGCGTCTCAGGCTTTAGGGTTCACAGGGCGCGGCGGTGCTCGCGCAACCCCGGGAACGGAACGCGAACGAGAACGGAACGCAACAAAGAATCTCAGAAAAACCGGCCAGGCAAATCCCAGGTTTACTGAAACTGCCTCAATGATTTTTGGCAGGTCGGGAAAAATCATTGGCAAGTGTTGGTATGCATGGGTAACAACAAGAAGCGAAAAAATGACGGATTCGGCAGCCAGCACGGGCGTGGGGCGTGGCTTGTCCCTCGCTTGCAAATCTCTTCAATGATTTTTTGACGGACCGGGAAATTCATTGGTGACTGTGGGGGCGTGTGGAAAAGTGGCCTTTTGCCTAGAAATCTCCTCAATGATTTTCGGCGGGTTCGGAAAACTCTTTGGTGAGTGTTGGGGTGTGTGGCGACGGGTTGAAATTTCACCACTTCGGCAGCCAGCACGGGCGGGCTTGGAACAACAACAACAGCAACAACCGCAACAACAGCAACAGCAACAGCAACAGCAACACCAACAACAACAGCAACAACAACAACAACTGGTACTACTACTACTACTACTACTACTACTACTACTACTGCTACTACTACTACTACTACACTACTACTACTGCTACTGCTACTGCTACTGCTACTGTTACTGCTACTTCCTGCAACTACTGCTAGTACTACGATTACTACTACTACTACTACTACTACTACTACTACTACTACTAC